CATTATAGTGACCTTTTAGTGCTAACCGCCTTTTTTGCTGCCTCTTTAGCACTTTTTGCTTTTCTGTTGTTACAGGTACAATTCCTGTTTGGTAATAATCCTCTCAATTTGTTGCAGTATAAGGTATCCTGTTTAAGGCTAGAACCCGTTTTTACTTACTGTCTCTTGCTCTTTTATTTTTGGGCTCACTTTGAACCAACCGAAGCAAAGAAAAAAAAAGTCATTATGTAAAATGTGAGTAGGGTTTTTTAGGCATATTCACTGCCTGTGAGTAACACAAGTTGTCCGTGTTCATCAAAATTTGAACCATTTTTTTCCACACAACTGAGAATTTTTAAAGTTAAGCAACATAGTTACATTTTTTTTTTCAATTATTTGAGGTGTCTGTTAAACATTTCGAATGCTCTTTGCTGGCAAAATCGACGCTTAATAAATTATTGAACAGAATACCATAACTTTGCTGTCTTTATCTTGCCTGTAGATTTTTTTCACTTCAATGAAATTTTTTTCTCATTTATAAAAAATGAATAAAGCGGTGTTTAATTTTGACATATTCGATTAAGAGTCTGAAATTATCTTTGATGTGACTGTAATATATTGTTACTCAACTAATTATCCCAAAAAAGGCTTTTAAGAATCAAATGGTGTAAATGATTCATCCTCTTTATAGATAAAAGAATTTTGAACGATTACAGCAGGCAAAAGTTTCCTTATTAAAAATGAACAATTATTCTGCATGGAAAGCTATGTAAATTTAAAATGAATTTTTAAAAGTTTCAAAGGTTTATTTTGAAAAATAAAGTCACGCTTGTCTCAAGTTAGACAAAATTTTCAGTCCATTTGCACAAACAGGATTCAACAATCATTGCATGAATTTAAATAATACATTTGTCAGTCTTAAACAGAAAAGAATAGATCTAAGCAATTAAGCAGCTAAATTTTCTAAAACTTCTCATTATTCTCTTTTTATTTCTCTTAAACCAATTTTTTCCTAGAAATCTTCATGCATCAGTCAGAATAATTTCTACTTTTACCATTATAAAGTAACTGTTTTTTAAGCAACTTTTTCAACGCAATATAACGCTCAACAGGAGATAAATTGTAGATTAGCACCACACTGCTTCTAAGCACTCTTAGGGCTGTTGTCCTCTTGTTCCACAGAAGCATACGATTCTTTTTCATCAGGAATGTGACTTCCTGCCAGCAGTTGATATAACCAGGCCCCTAAGACAGCTCCAAACAATGGAGCGATTACTGGAATTACTCACCGGCAACGGCTGAGCTCATTGAAAAAAGAAAGCCTAAGTCGTCATCAACAAATGAGTTGCACATATAACAATACTCTGTACAGATAACCGTAAATATAACTGGATTAGATGTAAAACATATTATTCCTTACCTAAACACAGTTCCACCATAAATTAAAAATGTAAAGAACCTGTGTTTGAAGTCACGAGCTGGATTGTTTCGACAACCAATTTTAAGGGCTATTGACTTGAATCACATCTGAAGTTGTTTAACAAATCAGAGCCTCTTCGACTTTTTCAGTTTACGAAACTGGTATGATAACAGTAAGTCATTATTTATAAGCTAATTTCAAGTTTCCAAATATAAAAAAGTAGTGTAACAATTATTCTTGTAACAAAATCAACGATGTTTTCTCAATTACTTAACATTAAGTATACATGTACTAGATCAAGAAGAAAACGATTAATAACCATAATATTGCATATATGTTCCTGCAGCACCGAGTATAGCACCAAGAGTTTGAGCTAAGCTGTAAATTAGAACTTCCATAATACTTATTTTGCCAAACGACCATAACAGAAGAGACACTGCAGGATTTAGCTGACCACCTAAACCAATAAGTTGTCACTGTCAATTCACTAAATACATCCTTTTCACGTCTGCACAAAACTCAATTTACTGACGTAGTTCAGTAAAAAAAACTGCCAATTTTGTCATTACCTTAGCAACTTTATTTCCGCTTTAAATTATTCGTCAAAGTAAGAACTACAAAAGTTAGCAAATACGTCAACGTGAAAAAGTTCACAGGTCTATAAGTCAAAAACTGTCACAATTAATGTTCAACGCTCTAAACTCGGAAAATTTTTTTCCTCAAATGCTTTATTTGATACCTTGATAAAGTAGTAATCATAATTAAATAAATATGCAGAGTAAAGCGGATCTACCATCACTTCACGCCTCAACTTTCCCAATTTACATACATTATTTGAAAGATGCAGTATGGTGCTGATGTGCAGTAAAACAAGATTTCTTCTGTTTCCAGAAACCTCAGCTCCTTCAGGAAATAATTTTTTGCAGTAGCACTATCGTCAGCACTCAAAAAACTTTAATGTTTTGCTTTTTGAATATTCTATCAACAATGATCAACCTTCATAACCGGCAAAAATTTGACTTTTTTGTCAAATCAGAAGTTTACTAATTTCTCCCAACCGTCTAATCCTTCTCGATTGACTTCGGCATCCATTTTTTTTCAACAGAAGTATTAACTAAGCCTAAAATTGATTCTTTTGTTGGGCTACAAAGGAAGAACTCTAAAATGTCAACCACAAATTATTTGCCGTTATTCGGTGTATCTCTGAGATATTTATTGCTTCAGCTCGTTCCTTTTTTCTATTACACGTATGTACAAATAGTCTGATGTGAAAAATCAAATTTTAAAGCTGTATTACGAGTAGGCAGTTGTTTTTCGGCAGAGTAAGACAGTCTTTTAAAAGATTGCTCAGTTTTCAATGAGTTATCGCCATTCAGAAACTTCATAAACCATATCCGTATGACTTTCTCTTTAGCTAAAAAAACTCCCAAAATACTTCATTGATTTTTCAGCTACAAGCAGCAACATTACTCTCTCTTTTTTCTCCTTTTTTATAAAAATGAGAAATCGGCAAAAAAAAAAAATTTAATTTTGCATTACAAATAAAAAATTTTAAAACCAAATTTGTTAGTGAGAAAAAATAGGGGAAGAAAATACGGTGAAAAGAAGGAGCAGACAATAAACTTTTCATCAGTATATCAGAAAGCACCTTTTACTTCTAAAATTATTTTTCTGAATCAGAGGTCTAAAAGCTACAGGTCGTAAACTACCAAACTTTAAAAATCTTTTTAAAAGAATTGGATTTTTATTCAATACTAACCAAAAAATTGTAAAATAAAAATTGTGTCTTTCATCACTGTTAAAACTGCTAACCATATTTTCAATCATTCTAATTCTTTCAAATAAACAAATTACATTTAAAAAAATTAAAAAATTTTATAACTATGTGCATAATTATTTCTCATCAAATTGCAAACAGTTTTTTGATAATGGTTTTTTTTTTTTGTTGATAATGATTTGCTAGCTGTTAGAGTTTGGATGACAATTTAAAAGTTTGAATAAACTGCAACAAAAACTTAAGTGCTGGGGAAAACTTTTGCCTTATCAAAGTTCAAAATCTATCTTGGTTTCAACCCGGTTAAAAGTTTTTTTATGAATCTATAACTTTATTATTTGTCTGTAAGATTAAATTGAGCTCAAATTTTGAAGATAATAATAAAAAAAAAAAAAAAAAAAAAAACTTGTAATATTCAGAAATTTAAAATTTTATAAAACAAATTGTAATAAAACTGCATCTTTAGTTCACTAAAAGCAAAAAACTGTTTTAGAACTTACCTATCTACTAGGAAAGTGTTTTTTTTTTTTTTTAAGTGTAGGAAAGTTTTAAAACTAAACTCTTTCTAAAAGTTAAAAGTCATCAGTTGCTAAAGGAAGTTTAACTGTGAGGTATTCATATGTATTTTAATCAGATTCTGCAACCGAATTGATTTTTTCAATTGGTCTTCCTAAGTTTATGTTTACATTGTCAAAAAGTTCATCTGTTTTGATAGGGACAGATAAACTTTACTAATCAGCAAAAAATTTATATAATAAACTTTAAACCTATCAACTAGGAAAGTGTACTATAACATTTTAGCGTAATATTGCCCATATACAAACAGTTTGTTGAAAAAAAAATAAAATTCCGATGCAAATGCAGAAAAGAGTTGTCACATTGTAATATACCGCAAAATGCTGTGATAAACCCTTTTCATACAGTTCAGCGTTATTTTTTTTTTTTGCTATAAAACATAGTTTAGTGAATTGTTATCAATCAAGTAAGTTTCTAATTCATAATTTTGCACTAACTTTAATAGCTTAGTCTTTCTCTCTCTCTTATTTTAGCTAATACTACAACTTAATAGATAGACTTTTATGTAAAAAAAAATTTTATATTATAGTTTTTC